AGTCGGAGGTGAGCAGTGACAGGTGTCACCGTATTGGTCACTTGAAAAGGGCCACAGAAGCGGGGTCGGAGTTTGCTCGGGATGGGCAGACGCAAATTGCGAGTGTCGAATAGGACTTTGTAGATGACGTTACGTCGATGACGATCGGCTTGTCGGCTTGCAACCAGGCTGGCTTTCCGGATTGCCTCAGCTGCTTTTTCTTGGGTTGCAAGGATATCCTCGGCAAAACGTTGGGACCAGGGCACGGGGTCCTGTCCATGATTGAGGAAAAATGGGGATTGATGGGTTGTGTCAAAAGGCGCGTTATTATACGCGAATTCCAGCAGTGGAAGGGATTTCTCCCATGTTTGTGGGTCAGTGCAGGTAGTGCGAATGAGTTGCTCCATTGTTTGGTTGACTCGTTCAGTCTGCCCGTTAGTCTGTGGGTGGTAGGCGGAGGAAAACTGTAGTTTGGTGCCGAATTGGTCCCACAGGTGGCGCCAGAAATTCAATGTGGATTTCGGGTCTCGGTCTGAAATAATGGCGGTGGGCAGTCCGTGCAGTCTGATGACGTTGGCGATGAACAGTTGGGCAGTTTTCTCAGCTGTAATTTTTTGTTGGCAGGAGATGAAGTGCGCCATTTTCGTGATTCGGTCAACGACCACGAGGATGGCATCGTTTCTGCTGGGACCGGTCGGCACTCCTGTCATGTAGTCCATCGTGACGTGTTGCCAGGGTTCTCGGGCGGATCCAATGGCTGTAATAGTTCGACTGCTCGCTGATGGGATGATTTCATGATCTGGCAGGCGGTGCAGGAGAACACATACTTGTGCACTTCGTCGGCCATGTTCGGCCAGTAATAATTGCGCTGCAACGTCTTCATGGTTTTGTCGACTCTGAAATGCCCGGAGGTAGGGTTGTCGTGGGATTCTTGGATTAGGAGGATACGAAGTAAATCGTAGCCAGGAACCCAGATGCAAGAAGTGTCCCATTTCTTGAAATAATGTCCGGTGGCGGTAGTATGCTGTTGGTGAATGGCGGAGAAGAAGAATGGGTCGATCTTGTAGCCATGGGTAAATATTCCTGTAAGGAGTGGGCTGGTCTGGGCGACTAGTATGGCGGCTGTATGGGCAGTGGATCGGGTCAAGGCATCAGCAATGTTGTTGGCTCCTCGCTTCTAGGTGATGGTGTAGTGGAAGTTTGAGTCGAGGAAATCGAGCCATCGGATCTGTCGCGGGTTAAGGTTTGGTTGGGGTCACAGGTACTGGAGGGATTTGTGGTCGGTCCGCACAGTGACGACAGCGCCTGTCAGGTAGCACCGCCAGGTCTGCGTGGACGATCGCCAATATTTCCTTGTCGTGTACCATATAATTTTTCTCTGCGCCCTGCAGCTTCGTGATTCGTAGGCGACTGGCTATAATATGTCACCAAAATCCTGTATGAGAACTGCGCCGATGGCGATGTTGCTGGCGTCGGTAATGACTTCGTATGGACGGTCAGGATCGGAGACGCGAAGGACGGGCGGCGACGTGAGGGCGATCTTCAGTCGGTCAAATGCAGCTTGCTGCTTCTCTCCCCACCAAAAACAATCGTGATCATTGAGTCGATCAGTTAGCGAGGCAGATAACCCAGCCATATTAGGGATAAACCGGCGGACCTAATTGGTGAAGCCCAAAAAACTCTGCAGTTCCTTGATGTTGCTTGGCAACTTCCATTCCTGTATGGTCTTGATTTTCTTGGGGTCAATTTTCACTCCTTCGGTAGAGACGATGTGGCCCAGAAATTCCAACTCCTGTTCAAGAAAGTCACACTTAGAGCCTTTGGTGATGAAGCGATTCTTGTGCAGCAGCGTGAGGACTACATCAAGATCCTGTAAGTGCTACTCCCTGAAAATTATGATGACACATTAATATATTAATATATCGTCGAGGTACATGATGACGCATTTGTCTAAGAGTTCCCTGAAAATTCCATTCATGGTTATTTGGAAGGTCGAGGACGTGTTCATGACGCCAAAAGGCATCACCAGTATCGGGGCGGCGTAAGGTGACGTGCTAGGGCGGATAAAACCTTTTGTGAGAAGGTAATCCAGCTGCTGCTATAATTCTTCAGTTCTGGTTGGCTGAGCCGAAATTGGTGCTGTACCATCGGTTGGGCGCCTGGTTCCAACTCGATGCGGTGGTCCTCAGGTCGGCTCGGTGGGAGTCCAGCTCGCAGATCGTCCGGGAAAATCTATGGGTATTGCCGAATCAGGTCCGCTAAGTTCGGAGGGACGGCCTAGCACAGCTTCTCGATATCTTCGTTCTTGACCGTCGATGTCACATCGCGAAGATCACCTACGTACGCTGCAGCTCTAGCTTTTATCGCGCGCTTGAAGATGATCGCATGGACTTGGGTGCTTCGCATGCGAGGCCCCGTCCACTTGGGCAGCTCGCGGGAAATCCCCTCGGGCTTGATGCTACAGCCGCTCGTCGTCCAGTCAATCTTCGGTTTGTGCCGTCGCAACAAATCACGTCCCAGCAGCACATCGCACCTGTCGAGAGTAGTTGCTAGTAGTCCCATCTGAAATTTTACATGCTCCCCACAGGTAAAACCAACGTTCTCCACCCGTTACTGTATTGCCATCGGTGTTCTGTCCACCAGGCGGGCGTCGATTTTTGGTAAGCACTTGAGTAAGGGTATACCCAAATTTTTAGCCCTGTCCAGTTGTATGAGACTGTGACTCACGCCTCCATCAACGAGTGTCTTCAATAACACCCCGTTGACTTTACCCTCCACCAACACAGGGTGATCAGCAGTTTCGTCCCCCTTATTCGTCCGGGTCTGGTCGATTGCAGAAATCGGGATCACGACCCGGTGGGGACTGTGTGGCTCGGACGAAGAAGCATGCCCGTTAGTAAGGGGCCCGGTACTTACTGACACGACCCATTTCCCGGTCGCTCCTCCGGCTTCTTCCCCATAGAATTCATGAGGGCCATGAATTCTTGGCAGTTGTGTCGGATATGACCCGGCCGGCCACAGTGGTAGCATAGCCCCGTATTTCGCGAAGCAACTGCGTAAATATCCATGCGGCCACCCCTTTTATCGTGGCGCGCCAATACTGTTCTCAAGGGCGACCTCTGTCGTAGAAGTTTGTCCTCGGCTTCATGATCGAATCAGCGGCTTCGGCGAGCTGGATGCAGTCTTGTAACCACTTCGCAGGACATTGCAGTTTTATCTGGTACTGTATTTCGAGCTTCAAGCCGCCCATGTATCTGTCGACCTTCTCCAACTCGTGCGTGTAGCCACATCTGTCCACCAACGTCATGAACGACGCAGTGTACTCGGACACAGATCCTAGCAGCTTCCTCGTGCGTAGAGTTTCGCGTGCATTGTCTGAGTCAGGTGTATGCTCAAACCGCTTACGAAGCTCTGCGCACCACGTTGCCCACGTGCGAATATGGGTCGCTCCGAACAACAGATCTGCCTCGTCTTCGTCTCCAAATTCTTCGGACCACTCATGCTGTCCTTCTGTGCGAGTTGCTGCTGAGTCGACGATGACCTTCCACAACTGTAGGGTAGTCACTTGCAACAGTGTTAACGCGTGACTGATCTGCTTCTGATCGTCTCTTATTCCCCCCGCGTTAAAATAGATATTCATGGCGAATATCTACTGCCGCATTGTCACGCCTTTATTAGCTGGATCGAAAGGAGCGGGTTGTTGATATCTTACGCCACCACTTGTCGAGTGCGGGGCTGTTGCCGCTAGTCGTGCCAGCTCCACTGGCGACGGTTGCTGCTCACCCGCCTCGCCTCGTGCATCATCGCCGAGCTCCTCTTGACGCTTTTCCTGCGCCTGCTGAAGCCGCTGGTTCTCGTCGCGGAGGTCGTTGACGATGCTTGTCAAATTCTTCAACGGCTCCATTAATGCTTGCAGGTCCACAGTTTCCCGGGCAGGGTTTGCAGCTGTCGAGGTGCACTGTCCCTCAACTGTAGAATCTACCGGGGCCATGGCGGTCAGGACGGGGCAGGAGCTAGCGCACATGTTGTAGTTGTTGAGGTAAAAATATTTACGATCCAATACAATAGCTGTGCAGCCGTGCTAATCCCCTCTGACCACCCTTAACTGAGTAGACGGGAAAACAGAAGGTTCCCGGAAAGGTCGGGCTCTGATACCAGCTGTTATGATATAGGAAGTGTTGGGCTGAGAAATGCCCTTGGGATCTTTCCAGAGACTAAGTCCCAGTTGTAAAGGACTTGAGTAGTGCAGCGGAAGTTGAGTACTTGAACCCTTGTACTAGTATATGAGAACAAGTGATTGATTAAAAGAAACAAGCATACAGCAATATATAGAAAGCAGGAAAGTAAAGCTGTTGTAGAATACAGTTTAAGGAGCGGTTTCTCGAGTCGCACAACGACTCGATTGCCAGTTCTGTTACCATCCTTGCATTTGTAACGGTCAGTCGCAACCCCCGGTTACGACTCTTCGTGTCCATTCGTGTTCTTTGTCCGCCCCTTCGTGTTACCTCCGTTGACTCGTGTACCCGTTATGACTTTCCTCGAGTGTAGTGTTTACACTTCAGAAACGCTTAAGTCTTTGAGATATTTCCAACATGAAGTGTTAATGAAATATAACATGAGAATACAAGGTTGCTATTGTAGTGAAGGCACGAGGTTATATAGGGGTTGGCATGCTAGGGCAATAACCTCGGAATGTGGGCGGGTTCGGCAATGTGGCGACAGTGCTGGACGCGACTCGGGAAAGGGTTGGGCTGACAAATGAGGCCGAACGTGACGAGTCGAGGTTTTCGGGTGTACGCGCTAACGTACGACTCAGTAAGGAATGAAAATTCCTTACAAGCAACATCCTAGCCCACTTGATGGGGGGTGTCCAGCTCGTACATGTAAGGTTCAAGATCAAAACGGTTTTCGCGCTTCATAGCTGTGGAACATTTAGCACCCAACTCAACCGTACGAAGGCTGTAAACGAACAGGTCCTGCCCTATCAGCACAGAATTGTTCAGCTGCTGCACCTTCATCAAGTGTGCCTCGCGCCCCTCCCAACCCGAAACCCAAACCCCGCATCTTCTACCACACTCCTCGCCGCCGCTCTCGCTACCAGCCCAACCCTCGTGCCGTTCACCCTAGTAGCAGCAACGCCTCTTCGCCCCAGCGCGCCTTCTTGTTCGTAGCTTCTTATCCAGTAAAAAGCGGCGCCATGGCGAGAGGCAGGCCGAAGAGAGGCAAGGCTAAGTCTAAGGCAAGTTGCGCCGGGGCAGAGAAGCCTTGCGCTGGTCGCTTGTGCTTTTACCAGGCGGACGTTGTTAGACTCCTGTGGCGTTAGCCTGCCAATCCACGGTGGAATGATCTTATCGCCTCGCGCCTTTGGACTCAAGCCGCCACTTGTTGCTGCCTCCTATCATGCGCTGTACCTCGACGCCGCCGTGAACCTTCTCCCCGTCCCCTCGCCCGTCACCGCTTCCCGCCCCCTCACCGTCCTTTGCGGTTCCTGCTGTCGATTTCCAGAGTTCAAACTCAACCGTCGTACTCCCCCCACCGCCCGCTCCCCCTGCGCCCTTCCCCCCGTTTTCTCCTTTTACGCGCCGCAGGGCACCCGGTCAGCGCCGAGGCCCGAGCGCATGGAGACCGCTGCCGCTGTGCCTGGCGCGGAGGGCACGTCGAGACCTGCGGTGAGGGGATCGGCGGGGGAACGGGGGCTCGAGGGGAAGAGGATGGGGGGAGGCGCTTGGGAGGGGGTAGAGGGCGGGGTTGTGGGGGGGGGGGGGAGGTCAGAGGAAGGGGCTGAGCGAATGAAAGGCGCGTGATGGCAAGGCGGAAAAGTGCGCGGAGAGGTTGGGATGGCTGAGCGGTGGGGGTTTCGGGGTTGGAAGGAGAAACGGGGTGTGGGTGTCCCCGAATCCCGCCCCCTCCTCCCCCTCCCGTCCTCCCCCTCCTCCCTCCACTTCCCCCCATCTCTTCCCTCCAGCTCTCCCTTTCTGACATACACGTATAAATACACACCCACACACACACACACACACACACACACACACACACACACACACACACACACACACACACACACACACACACACACACACACACACACACACACACACACACACACACACACACACACACACACACACACACCACACACACACACACACACACACACACACACACACACACACACACACACACACACACACACACACACACACACCACACACACACACACACACACACACACACACACACACACACACACACACACACACACACACACACACACACACACACACACACACACACACACACACACACACACACACACACACACACACACACACACACACACACACACACACACACACACACACACACACACAACCCTTACTCTCTCGCCCCCCGCAAAACCCTGTCCCCCCGTGCAGGTGTGGCGGCCGGGCGTGGACGACATGGAGGAGGGCGAGGAGCTGCAGTTCGACCCCTCCGCCTACAACTGCCTGCACCAGTTCCGCCTCAACTGGCCCTGCCTCAGGTGCACCCTCCTTCCTCCTTTCCTCTCCATCTCCTCACTCACCCACGCGTTTCCTTCCCCTCCTCCTCCTCCCTTCCTTCCTTCCTCCTCGTCGCCCGCCCCCCTCTCCTCCTATCCCCGCCCCCACGCACAGCCCAAGTCTCCCTAACCCAAGCCGCTCTCTCATCACGCCAGCCCCCGCCGTTTCACCATGATTGATTAGGCAGTTGCGTAGTTGGGACGCCATAATTGACCTTTCCGACACCCTTCGCCCTTCGCACCCTTCGCACCCTTCCCACTCGCCCATCCTCCCGTTGAGACTCCCTCTCTCGCCCCATCCGACCCTCGTCCGAACCACCTCCCTGTGCCCGTCTCCTCTCGGGCACTTTTTTTTTAGCCAGAATTAAAACTCCATCCGTGTGCCCATGACCCGCGTTGGCTATCCTGGCAGCCTGGACGTGGTGCCGGACTCGCTGGGGGATAACCGCAAGAGCTTCCCACACACACTCTTCTTTGTGGCCGGCACGCAGGTGCGGTGGGGCACGCAGGTAGTAGTGAGGCCACCAAGCATCATGCGTGTGCGTGTGCTCATACCCCATGCGCCCATATTCCATGCCCCCATACTCCATGCTTCCATACCCCATGCCCCCATGCCCCCTTACAAGGCGCGAAAAAACACCGTTTTTTAAAAGAAAATCCCGTACTGTGCGGTACCGAATGTTTCCTCCGTTTTAACCGTAAAAAAACGGTTCCAAGTACGTTTGATATGGTGGTGCCAAAAAACGGTCGTTTATTTCGACCGTTTCTTTCACATAGGTGTACACTAGCAAAGTTCAATACTCCTTATCGAACTTTGCGAGTTGGGTGTGCACTACACCCAACCTAGGCGAAATGCGCGGCTTGGGAATTCCCGGACCGCGCAGAATGACGAATCTCGAGCCGTGCGACCAACATTTTTCGCCACGGCCGTTGCGAAATCCAGAACCGTTTCGTCGCGAACGGTTCTGGATTTCGCAACGGCAAGAAAAGTGTGGCGAAAGTCTCTAGTTCGCGGCGTGCGAACTAAACAAACCAACCAAAATCCCCGTCATTAGGCATTCCAACCCAATTCGACCCAGCCACAAACGCCCCACGCCCCATGCCCTATGCCCCACACCCCACTCCCTCCATCAATTGCTTTCTGGATGTAACACAAGAAAGCCCAAGAATAAAAACAGAACCAAAAGGACTTGGTAAGCTCACTAGCTAGGAGGATTTGTAATAGGAGGAGTAGTAGGAGGATTGGTAGAAGGAGGATCAGTAGGAGGAGTGGGAGGGGGAGGAGGAGGATGATTTCCTGTCCTACCTCAATGTTGTGCGCTGTCGCGTGTAGGGAGGATGCCTAGGCCCCCCATGGGTGTTGTTGTATTGTTTTTTGGCACGAAAAAAAAACCAATTTTCTTCCCCAAAGTGACCGAAAAGAACGGCCGTTTTTTTCGGACCGTATTTTACCGCAAGCGAACTTTTGCACCTTGCCCCTTACCCGATGCCCCCATACTCCATGCCTCCATACCCCGTGCCCCCATATCCCATGCCCCCATACCCCACGCCCCCATACCCCACGCCCCCATACTCCATGCCCCCATACTCCATGCCACCAAACCCCATGCCCACATACCCCACGCCCCCATACTCCATGCCCCATACCCATGCCCCCATACCTCATGGCCCCATATTCCATGCCCCCATATACCACAATCCCCCCCCCCCTCTACCCACCCCCCCCCCCCCCCCCCCCCAAACCCCTCCACCTCGCTCCCCTCCTACCAGGCGCCATCTGCAGATGGCAACGTGGTGGCAGCAGTGCGGCTGGCGAACATCACGAAGATGCGGCACCACAGGGACGAGGAGGACGAGGACGGGGAGGGCGACGACGACGAGAGCGAGAGCAGTAGCGATGAGGACGACGACGACCCCACCTCCATGGGCGGCGAGGGCGCGGGCGTGTTCCGCATCCCCAAGCCGGGCAAGCCCATCATGCAGGTGCGCGGGGAGGGATGCGGGGGGTAGAGAGTGGATGGGGCAAGGGAGTGGATGGGAGACGAGAGTGGAATGGGAGGAGGGAGTGGAGTGTGGGGCTGTGTATGCCTCTGCCAGTTTCACGTGCTTGCCCTCCTGGCTTACAATCGCGTCTCCTCGACCATCCCCTGCCATTTTTTACTTGCTGCCGCTCCCTGCCACCCTTCTCCTTCCGCCCCCTTACGCCTTCTGCCTCTCCCTCTCTCACGACCTCCTTCTCTCCCCTGCTCCTCACTCTCGCCTTCTCTCCCCCCCTCCCTTTCCCCCCATCTCCCGATCTCCCTCTCGCCTGCCCGTCCTTCTGGCCGTGCAGGCCCGCAGTGTGGTGCACTACGGCGGTGTGAACCGCATTCGCAGCATGCCGCAGCAGCCGCACATCTCTGCCTCCTGGAGCGACTCGGGTCGCGTGCAGGTGGGATGACGATGCATGTGCATGCACACATACACACATGCACTCATGCCCCCTCCCCGCCTCCATCCCTTCCACTCTTCCCCCCCCCACCCCCCCCCCCCTGGCCCTCTTTTTTTTAGCACCTTCGCAACCTCCACTGCTTATACCCCTTTTTACTGCTTCAACCGAGCTTTCTCCTCGTGTGACTCTATAACCTTCACCTTGCTTCTAACAACCTTGTCCTTCCTTTCCCCACTTCTCTCCTGACCCTTGGTCCCAGTCCTCGTCCCTCCCTTCCCCCTTCCCTCCCTTTCCCCTTCCCTCCCTTTCCCCTTCCCCCCTTCCCCCCTTCCCCCGCTCCCCCCCCCTCCAAACCCTTCCCCCGTTCCCCCATTCTCCCCATCCTCCCTTCAACCCACCTTCCCAGGTGTGGGATCTGACACCCCAGGTGCGTTCCCTGGCAGCCACTGCATCGTCATCATCCGTGGCGGCGAGTGACATCTCGCCCCCGGTGGCGCGGCAGGCGCCGCTGCACATCTACTCGGGCCACGACGACGAGGGCTTCGCCATCGACTGGAGCCCCGCCAACACTGCTAGACTCGCCACTGGTGCGATCGCTGCCCGAAATTTAGCCATGTCTTTGCTTGCTAGTGCTCGATCTTGTTGTGGCTTAGTGTGGCAGAGGACATCTTCTAGTTGTCGCCTCGACTTCCCTGATTCCAGGCCTTTCCCCTGCATGTACAGTTTCCTTCATCCCCTCTGCCATTCCGCTTCTCTTCCATCTCCCCCCCGCTCAGGCGAGTGCAAGGGCGCCACAGCGGAGTGGTGACCAGTGGAGGCCAGAAAATGTGCCGTTCTGTCCCTTCCCCACTCTCTTCTCCTCCCCAGTACTATTCTCCTCTCTATCTCTCTTCCTCTCTCTGCCCCCTATGCTCCCAGGCGACTGCAAGGGCGGCATAGCGGAGTGGCGGCCAGTGGAGGGCGGCAAGTGGGTGGTGGGTGACACCAAGTTCAGAGGGCACGAGGGCAGTGTGGAGGACATCCAGGTAGATGGATGTGGCAGGTGTGAACTCGCACACATCCAGCTACACACATTTCATGCACGCATGCACACATACGTGCACGCAAACACACATTTCTTCTCTATTTGTGGCCGGCGGCCGCAGCCATTACACCATGCAACACTTCTCTTTCCTGACCCCGTTGCCCCTCTCCTCTTACTCCTCCCATGCCCACACACCCCCTTACCCTCCACCCCTCCCCGCTTCCCCTTCAAAAACATCGATTGCCAGTGGAGCCCCTCTGAGCCTGAGGTGTTTGCGTCCAGCGGCGTTGACGGCACGGTGTGCTTCTGGGATGTGCGCGCTGCCAGCCGCACTGCCCCCGCGCTCAGAGTGAAGGCGCATGACGCCGACGTCAACGTCATCTCCTGGAACAGGTGCGTGACATGCTGGTTTTAAAAAACAGCGTCCGAAAAAAAAGGTCTGAAAAAAACGGCCGTTTTTTTTTCGGGCAGATTGGGGAAAGAGCGCCGTTTTTTTAAAAGAGCATGTTGGAAAAAAAAAAAAAAAAAAACTGGGAATCACGCCAAAACGGCCTGGGGCATCGCGTATGCTTTATTGATTAACATGGCATCAAGAAACACATAAAAACTCGGGTAAAATTGTAGCTCCCCTCTAATTCCTCCCCTTTTCCTACTCCTCCTCCTCCTCCTCCACTTCCTCCTCGTCCTCCTCCTCCTCGTCCTCCTCCTCCTCCTCCTCCTCCTCCTCCTCCTCCTCCTCCTCCTCCTCGTCCTCCTCCTCCTCCTCCTCCTCCTCCTCCTCCTCCTCCTCCTCCTCCTCCTCCTCCTCCTCCTCCTCCTCCTCCTCCTCCTCCTCCTCCTCCTCCTCCTCCTCCTCCTCCTCCTCCTCCTCCTCCTCCTCCTCCTCCTCCTCCTCCTCCTCGTCCTTCTCGTCCTCCTCCTCGTCCTCCTCGTCCTCCTCGTCCTCCTCCTCGTCCTCCTCGTCCTCCTCCTCGTCCTCCTCCTCGTCCTCCTCCTCGTCCTCCTCGTCCTCCTCGTCCTCCTCCTCCTCCTCCTCCTCCTCCTCCTCCTCCTCCTCCTCCTCCTCCTCCTCCTCCTCCTCCTCTCCTCCTCCTCCTCCTCCTCCTCCTCCTCCTCCTCCTCCTCCTCCTCCTCCTCCTCCTCCTCCTCCTCCTCCTCCTCCTCTTCCTCTTCCCCCTCTTCCACCTCCTCCCCATCAACCCCATTATGGTTCAGCTCCCATGGGTTGGCCCCTCCATGGTCCGCATCCTCCCCACTTCCATCACTAGCACTCTCAGCCTCCACCTCCTCCTCCTCCTCCTCCTCCTCCTCCTCCTCCTCCTCCTCCTCCTCCTCCTCCTCCTCCTCCTCCTCCTCCTCCTCCTCCTCCTCCTCCTCCTCCTCCTCCTCCTCCTCCTCCTCCTCCTCCTCCTCCTCCTCCTCCTCCTCCTCCTCCTCCTCCTCTTCCTCTTCCCCCTCTTCCACCTCCTCCCCATCAACCACATTATGGTTCAGCTCCCATGGGTTGGCCCCTCCATGGTCCGCATCCTCCCCACTTCCAGCACTAGCACTCTCAGCCTCCACCTCCTCCTCCTCCTCCCCCTCCGCCTCCTCATGTAAGGTACGTGGCTTCTTCTTCTTCCCCTTCCCCCCCTTGGTAGGCTTTCTTCCCCGCTTCCCTGCCTTGGCCTTCCCCTTCTTCTTCCCCCTTCCCGCAACCATCTCAAAGGTCCACCAATCAATGGTGCACCCGCCACCACCCTCCGCCTCGCCCTCCTCCTCCTCCCCCTCCTCTCCCACGTCCTCCCCTTCTGGAAGAGGGGCAGTGGGCTCGGGGCAGTGGGCTCGGGGCTCCTCCTTCGGGAAAGTGTTGACTTCGCACTTTTGCCGAGAGGAGTGTACACCGAACTCGAGAATTTTGAAAACAAACCTAACATTGAAATGAACTACATTTGGTTTGAAAAAAACGGTCGTAAAAAACGGCCGTATTTTTAAACCAATCCAAAAAAACACTTATTGAACCGTTTTTTTCCTATAATACGGCCGAAAAATACGACACCATATTAAACGGCAAAAAAATATAAAACGCCGTTTTTTTTAACTTTGACTGCCTCTGCACTCCGCACTGCACCCTCTACGCATTGCGTCCCATTAAACTCGCTTCGTTTCCTCCTCTCCTCGTGATGCCACTCATGTGTGACACCCCGCACGGCTCTCTAGTGCGTTCAGTGTCTCTGTCCCTGTATGCAGCTCTACGATGGATCCTCTGGCTGCCCTCCTCCCCCCCCCGTCCATCCTCCCGCGCACCCTACCAGTCTGGTCAGGTGCATAGTATCCTTGCCATTCCTCTTATCCGCTGCACCATGCCTCCTTCCCAACCCGCCGGGCTCACGATGTTGGCTTCAGGCTGTGACAATGGCTCCTTCCGCATCTGGGACCTGTGGATAATCGACATCAATGAAGGACTCTCTGCCCGTTCCATTCCCTGCTGCATTCCCTCCTGCCATCCCATCTCCCATACCCCTCATACCACAGGCTGGCGAGCTGCATGGTGGCGTCGGGGTGTGAAGACGGGTCGTTCCGCATCTGGGACCTGCGGCTGCTGAGGGAGGCGGGTGGGGGCAAGGAGGGCGGGGCGTTCATCGCGCACTTCAAGCACCACCGCCAGCCCATCACGGCCATCGAGTGGAGCCCGCACGAGAGCTCCACTCTCGCCACCTCGTGCGCCGACAACCAGATCACGTGAGTGGCTGCTGGCATGGGTGGGTGCTGGCACTGGTGGGTGCTGGCACTGGTGGGTGCTGGCACTGGTGGGTGCTGGCACTGGTGGGTGCTGGCATGGGTCGGTGCGGGCACCAGTGGGTGGTGGATGGGTGGGTGCTGGGATGAGTGGGTGGTGGCATGGATCGGTGCAGGCACCAGTGGGTGGTGGATGGGTGGGTGCTGGGATGAGTGGATGGTGGCATGAGTGGGTGATGACATGGGTGAGTGGTAGCCTGGGTGAGAGGTTACCAGCAAATGTCTCGCCCTTGCCTCCCCCACCCCCCCTTGCCCCCTTCCTGCACAGCCACGGCTTGCCTGCCAGGGCTAAACTTCCTAGCCGATCAACATTCTCTGCCTTCCTCCTCTCCTGTCTCACTGTCACCCATTCAAGAACAAATTTGCATCCCTTTCACAATTCGTCCCCTTCCCCCCCCCTCTCCGCCACACCCTGCCATGTGCGGTGCAGCATATGGGACTTGTCATTGGAGCGCGATGCAGAGGAGGAGGCGGAGTACGAGGCGGGGCAGAGGCAGCCTCAGGCAGAGGCACCCTCGGACCTGCCACCGCAGCTGCTCTTCGTGCACCAGGCATGCCTCCCTCCACATTGACACCCTACCGCTCACCATCACCCGCGACAAGTGTTTCTGTGTCTCTTGTTGTTGCAGTAGCACTCACCTCCTGGCCACCGCAGCTACTCCCACTGCAGCTGCTCTTTGCCCACCATCCGTGCTTCTGTTTACTTCCTCTCTGCCCCTCATCATCCATAAGAAGTTCAGTCAACTTACTGTACTTCTACAATCTCTGCTGCCCCTCCTTTGCCTAATTCGACCTCTCTCCCCTGGTCTCCCTTCAGTGTTCCTGGTCACCTCGCCTCGTTTCCTCTTTCTAGTGTAACAGTCCATTGTTAACATATCGGATGGAACTGGCATCTCCCCGATATCAACTTTTACTTCCACTGCTCACTCCCCAACCCTCCGTCCCATGTGCATATCCTATTTCCGTCTGGCCATATCCTCTCATCCCCCTCCCTCCCCCCCCTGCAGGGTCAGACGGACATAAAGGAGGTGCACTGGCATCCGCACATCCCCGGCATGCTGCTCTCTACGGCTGCTGATGGCTTCAATGCCTTCATGCCCTCCAACCTCTAGCTCGCCCCTCGTGTGACCCACCCACTACTGCTCGCTCGCTCGCTGCTCCCGGCGCTGTGCTTTCAAGCTAGGCCGCCAGGCATTTAACACCCGCCTAGGGTTAGTTGTCAACATATATTTGTATATGTTGTAGGCTAAATAGGTGCATGCTCATAGAGTACAACACCTTAAGACAAAACCACCTTGTATCACACATTCTAGTTCATTTGTTAACTCTGACATGGTATCATGTGAAGGTTATAATCGCCTCAGCAAAATTATATTTTTTAACACACGTAGTGTTTTTCAAAAATTGTGTAATGTGAAAGCGAAGCTGATTGTACTGAAGCGTTGGGCATCGTCGAAGCGCGCTACTCGCCCTTCTCCAACTACATATACGTGGGTTGGAGCTCATTTACCTCCACCCACGTCTCTCATTTTTCAAACGGCTCCGTCAACTTTCCCGCTCTAGCTTTTCTCCCGTTCAAGCTGGCTAAGACTAGAACTTTGCCTCGCGGCGAGTCTCCCTCGACTCTTCTCTCCGACATTTTTAAGTTTCACCGATCCGTCATGGCTCCGACTACGAATAATCGCGGCGAGTCCAACGTCGTCACCGGCCACCCCAATTCCGAGTCTACTCGCCAAGCCCCGGAAATTGCGGGCGACCGGCGCAACAAGCGTCGGGCAGAAGAAGGGGCGGCCGCCCCAACTGGGGTTGACGTTCTGCTGGGAGGGGGCGAGGTCAACAGTCAGCCTGCTGACGCGCCCCCGCCCCCTTCTGAGCCACACGCGCAAGTGGCTGGGCAGAGCCAGCCACTCGCGCCTGACGCCGAGCAGCAGCACGCGCCAGCCCTGCAAGTGGCGGGTCCTTCTCGCCAGCGAAAAAGGGGGCGCGCGGCTGCCTCGTCTGACATGCCGCCCACCCCGACATTGACCCCGTCGTTGACCCCTGCGCAGGTCAACGCGCTGTTGACGCTGTTAGAGCAGCAGGCGACGAGTGTTACGGCCGCCGAAACTGCTCAACCTGCTGCTTCTGAATCTGCTAAAAAAGAACCTGCAAAAAAAGAGAAGGCCACACGCGGAACCAAGACGCCACGCCTCGCCAAAGACGCCGTCGCCAGCCTCCCGCCTGCCCCGGCGGCCGACAACGACAGCGACGACTCCGACAATGACACTGGTGAGGTCCCCATCACTGCTGCAAATTCAATTCCCATGGAGCACCTCCCACCACTCCCGTCCAATAACACCACCCTCTCGGCGGCGTCTTTCCTCAATGCGGCCGTGCGCGAGCAAGCGGAAGTCCTGGAGGACCTTCGGGCATGCCTGAAGCACGCTGAGTTCAAGGTGCAGCACGGCGACGCGCAGGGCGGCCTCGAATTCCTCGCCGACGCGCTCGCCCTCATATCGCGACGCTTCGAAGTTATCCAAGTCGAAGACGCCTCCGACTTCCGCACGGCCAAGCGTTTCAAGCTGTACCGGCAGAAAAGTCTGCTTACCTCAAGGCCTTTCAAGCAGGCCGTCGCTGACGTGGCCGCAATGGACCGCGCCGAGGGCGGGTTTGCTCGTGGAAATCGCGGAGGCGGCCGCATGCCCATGCCGTTCGTGCCAAAGCGTGGTCCGCCGCCTACGGGAGAATTCCGTGGCTTCCGAAGCACTTGCTTCCGCTGTGGCCAGCCGGGGCATGTGGCCTGCGGCTGCCCGGCAATTGGGCATGGTGGCCAAGGACCCGCACCAGTGGTGTAGGGGTCGGGCCATGGGCGCTTGCGCAAGTGGCGCAAGGCGCAAGGCACCCGGTTTGTGCGTAGGCCATTGGGCCCACCCCTTAGGGGCACGGGTGGCAGAGGGCCAGCCCTAGTGTAGGCCAATCGAAGGCCCTAGGCTCAGAGCAAGGGAAGGGGAACATACCCCCTCGGTCCCAAATGATAGCCCGACCTTGCAAGGCGGAATTTGCATGCCTAGGAGCATGGTTGAGTAGAGATGAAGCTTGGTTAAAATAAGGAGCCGCGGTCCTTCATTTTTTTTCAGGTCTTGGCCCCTAATATAACCAGAGAAATGAGGGAGCAGCACCATAAGAGGCGCAGCAAAAAAAAAAAAAAAAAAAAAAAAAGGGGGGGGGGGGGATTGAGCATGGAATGGGGAAGCATAGTGGGTGGCTCAACCCCCGCTGCATGTCACGCAGCACCCCCGGCCAGAGAAGGAAGGTCATCAGGAACACCAATGGCCCGCCACTTACCCACACAGAGTTGCTCCCCGATTGGACATGCAAGAAAAAAAAAAAAAAAAAAAAAAAAAAAAACAGAATTCAAGCATTATGCGAGCCTTACAAGGCGCCTACCCTCCAACCCGGTGTGCTACACCCTGGACCCTACGCACTACCCCTCCGTGGGCATACAGGAACAGCCACACCAGCCTCATCTAGGGCTGCCCAGCTTGGCAGTGGAAAAAAAAAAAAAAAAAAAAAAAAAAAACGAGTCACATAAGCATGCGCGCACGCACGCGGTATGGCCCACGAACGGGAACAGCAACAAAACACCGCAAGCATGCCACACAAGCACACAAGAGGTGGCTAGAAGAAAGACATAAAAGAAAAGAAAAGAAAAGAAAAGAAAAGAAAAAACTCGGGCGTTGAGTTTCAAAACCCAAGAAATGAGAACGCAAGCGAACGAGGCAATAAGAGGGTAACATGCGTTCGCGAGTAGAAGCGCGAGTGAAGGCACAAGTTGTGGGAATACGAGGGCACAAAGGGAAGCAAACGTCGGGGCTCAGGTTCGAACGCAAGCTCGGCATGCGCGGGCGTGCAAACCGACACACACGCAGGTCACGCCGCTCAGACCCGCTCAAAGCGCAGGCAACCACCGACCTAAGCATCTTGCTCGCATGTGGCACCTCAATCCGGCATGCCCTCCTCAGCCACTAGGCTTCACACTCCCCCCCCCCCCCACGCTCTAGGTTTCCGGCAGGCATCAGCCCTGCAGATGAACTCAAGTATTCGTCCCTTGCTTCTCCTTGCATGATGGCACTCCCACAGGCACCAGACTTCGCGAATGCGCTCACAACAGTGACCCCTACGAATACGCGGTTACTGACAAGATGGTCACCAAAATGCGTGGCCGCCTACGTACCACGTTCGCTTGGTGGAGCTCGTGGTGCACTAGCAGTTTCATCCTCTCAGTCATAGCCAAAGGATACTGGATGCCATGGAAACTCGGGCCGCCGCCGGCCTTTCACGATCGCAACCATGCCGGCGCACGCACCCACGAAGCATTCACGCGCACGGCCATCCTTGAACTCACCGAGACCGGCGTGGCCATCCAAATTCCTGCGGCGAAACTGAGATGCATAAGCCCACTCAACGTGGTCGAGCAGAAAGACAAGTGTCGCCTGATTCTGGATCTCCGAAAGGTGAACGGCGCAATAATCGTCCCCAAATTTAAATATGAGGGACTCAACCGCGTAGCGGACCTCGCTCGCCAAGGAGATTGGATGTTCTCCATCGACTTGAAATCAGGCTATCACCATGTCGACATCCATCCCTCGTGCTGGACGTTCCTCGGCTTTGAATTCGACGGGTGCACATACGCCTTCCGATCCTTGCCGTTCGGCCTCGCCACAGCACCATTCGTCTTCACGCAGCTCATCAAGCAATTAGCTCGGCGATGGCGGGAGCAGGGGGTCTGCGTGATACCCTACGTGGACGATATCCTTTTCCTGTGCCCGACCCAGGCACACGCTCAAGCCACGTGCCAACGGATCGTTATCGATCTCAAGGCTGCCGGGCTCGTACTCAACTCAAAAAAGTCAAAGCTGATACCAACACAGCACCTTTGGTTCCTTGGCGTAGAACTTGACACACAGGCCGGCTGGTTCTCCATCGGCGAGGAGCGGCGAGCCACACTCAACGCCACCCTCCATGCCCTACTGCGCGCAAGCTCAGCTCAGCGGAAAGTCCCAGTCCGGCACCTGGCCCGAGTTACAGGCATGCTGGCATCGATGGCTGTCGCACTCGGCACCACCACCCGAGCGTTCAGCCACGCCATGCTAGAAACAATCAACGACGCGCCGACATGGACCAGCATGGTCATCCTCTCCCCACCCGCCATCGAAGAGCCGAGATTCTGGATCCAAGAGTTCGACCGTTTCAACGGTGCCCCATTCCATGTGCGGCACAGCTACGATGCAGTCATCCACGTAGACGCAAGTTCCCACAGCTGGGGTGCCACGCTGAACACATTCCCTGGAGCCGCGATAGAGGCCAGCGCGGCAATGCCCGGAGCCCTTCATCCAACCTCCAGCACACAAAGAGAGCTCGCCGGCGTGCTGTGGGCGCTACAGACGTACGCGCCTAGAATCCGGAAGAAACACGTGCTAGTGCGGGTGGACAACCAGGGCGTGTTCCCGAAGTCCCAACCTCACCACCACGTGCAAAGGCATCATCCAAAAATGCATGGAGTTCGAGATTCGGCTAATCATCGAATGGATCCCACGCGATCTGAATGGTCGCGTAGACGAGCTCTCCAAGCTAGTCGACCACGATGACTACTCGTTGAAGTTCCCATGGTTTCGCCTCCTCGAGCGTCGCTGGGGGCCCCACTCCATTGACCTATTCGCCAACCCCCAAAATGCACACCTGCCGCGTTTCTGCTCTAAGGTCCCCCACCCCGATGCCACAGCAGTCGACGCCTTCTCACTTGCCTGGACGGCTGAGAACAGCTTTGCATTCCCACCGCCCCAACTCATCCCCGCAGTACTCCATCACGCACAACGCACGAGCGCATCTCTCACCCTCATAGTCCCACACTGGCCTGGCGCAAGCTGGTGGCCGCTCCTCCAGCCCTCCCCTCCATCGTGGGACCCACACATCCAAGCACATATCCCTCTTACACACGGCAGCCAGTGTCTTACAGTCGGCACACATAGTCAAGCATTCTCAGGCACAGGATTACCCAACAGCACTATCGTCGCACTCCGCGTGATATTTGACTAACTAGACTCCCTTGCCTGTCCCCAGATCTGCTTCCAAAGCTCCAACATGACCTGCTTTCCATGCTCGCCCGCTCTCGTGCCGACTCGACCATCCGAACATACGAGCCTTACTGGGTGAAGTTCCGCGCCTTCTGCACGAAGGTCAACCTAACGTTCTTGCCGGCATCGGACATGACCCTCGCGCTCTATCTTGTGTATGTCATCCAACGCAAGGCCTCCTTGTCGGTGGTTCAGCTCACATGCTCCGCCGTGAGCTTTGCCCACAGGA